CAGGGCAGTCGGGGGAAGTAATGATCTATGAAACTTTTACTTAAATATTCCCAGGTAAGAACAAACAATATATTTACTTCAGTTTGTATTCGGGTTCCTCCGCTTATCATCAGTGTGACAATGAGCAAGTTACTTAACCTCTCTGTTCCTCATTTCCCACATCTGAGGAAACGATGAAGATAATAAGGGTACCTAACTCACTGGGCCGTCGGGAGCGTTAACGGACTGATACACACAAAGCTCTCGGAGTGCGTACACAGAGTGAACACTAGACAGGACGTCCGAATTACACACACCCGTACAACCCACAGTTCCACCAAGCCCGTAAAGCCTATTATATTAAAAATTCCAGGTACATACAATGGTTAGTAATAACAAACAGGTGCTACTTTGCGACATGCATTAAAACATTATTATTACTGTATTATTATGTTAAAGGTGTTTTAGTGATTCTGGAAGTGTTTCTTTGATGTTTTTATGCATAGAAAGGTACACTATATACTAAGACAAACATTTGACTGACATTACCTATGAAACACACCTAACTGTTCTGACTTACATACACATCTGACTTAAAGACAGACTTAGGGAAGGAACTTGTTCACAATCCAGTGACTGCTGCATAATGTCTGTTCTTACTCCTCTTATTATTACCTTAAAATAGAAAAGCAATACTTTAGCATCCTTGTAATTCACAATCTCATTACTTGTCTTTCAGGAATTTCAAAAGATGTCTCCCGGACTGTAGAGCACACGCACACGCACACGCACACGCACACGCACACACACACACACTCATTCCAGCCTCCCCCAGGACGCTGGTACTTTGGCAGGTGTGATTTAAATGCCCATTCCTGGATTTCTTACAGAGTAACAAGGAGTGAGGGGCCTGAGTCCTCATAGAAGAGGCTTAATAAAGAAGTGTATAAAAAATCTACAATCCTACCGGTCACAAGCAACAACAAGACCAACTAGGAATTCCGATGTCAATGGAACAAACTCCTCTGGTGTCCCCTTCACTTCCTGAGGCACCGCTGTGGTGGAATACCACCCCTGTGACACACGAAGGATCCTGGAGGAGTGGGGCTGGGTCTCCCATGAATGTCAGAATGGTGTCTGCCAGCGGCCAAGAGGCGACCCCAGCCCGACCCTGCCAAGCTCTGGTATTCCACCCGGAACCAGGGCTAGAAAGAAAGACCGCATAGTTTACTGCAGAGTGAGAAAATGACGCAGTGACTTGGCCAAGGTCATTCAGAGTAGGTGGCAGCCGGGAAGAGCACAAACACCCCCCTCAGAAGACAGTCGGCTCTCACCCGGTGAAAGTGCCCTTGAGTCGGGCTGCAAGTCAGACAGAGGCACCATCAAGGCTCTGAGGACAGGAGTGAGGGGGAAACCGAGGGACAGAGAACAGAATCACAACAGCTGCTGGTGTCTACAAGAGCTGTGATCCTATCTGAATAAAATGCAATTACTAGATGCACTTAGTCCTGCGCCTTGGCTAACCTTACGTAACTTCTTCCTATTACATCACTAAGGACAACTGCTTTTATGGGTCCGGCACCTGGACAACCGATGGAACGTCACATACCCTGATGCCACATCTAAATAGCCTTCCCCACGGAAAGGCTGGCCTGAGTGGAAGCCAAAAATAAACTGAAAAGCCAGTCCCTGAGGGACCTGTCATCACACACACATACACACGGCCTCACAAAAGCAGGGTGAGCTCAGACACACAGCTTTAACATAGAGACATGAAGCCTCAAGCCCAGCAAGACCTCAATGCTGTGGCAAATCTGGGTAGATGACACTGCACAAGAGATGGGCAAGCAAGTGAAAGCTAAAGCACCCGGATGAAGCCTCCAAAAGGAAAGCTGAACGTGACCAGACAGGCAGAAGGCCTGCTCTCTTCCTTACAAAGGGCCACACTGTGTAACCACGACAGGTGGAGCCCAGGAAGACCGGCCATGTCTAGCCAGTGCTCACGAAGGTTTAGGAGGCCGCTGGCATCTGGTTTTACTCCAAAATTTTACTCAAAGGATGACCATTGATGGGGCAGATGCACAGGAGACCCGTGGCCAGATGGGAAGAGTTTCAAGTGGATAAACTGGCTACCACGCTGAAGGGGTCAGGAGAAGAAGACAGAGCATATGAGGCGCACTGGCCGACTGCTGCTTTTAAGTCCTAAGGAAACTTCATTTTGGCTCCTAGAAGCCTCAGGACCTGGACCACCATAGTCTCAAGAACTTCTTGTTTTATGTCTGTTGATCATTTTCATGGAAGTGGCAGAGAAAGGGTAGGATTGGCTGGTCAGCCTCTTCATCTCCTTTTGTGAATCTGTTCACTGGAAACTTGAAAGAAATTAAGAGACTAATATTAAGCCTTTACTCATTGTCCTCCAAATTAACATGAAACTACATAAATACTTCAGAACTTACTCACCCCTCCACATTAAAAAACAGTACCTTTAAAATCCCAATAGGTGGCAGCTTTTAAAACAAGTTTCCCAAGACTGTCACTACATTATTCGATCAATAGTTTGGTTCTCAAATCTCATCTCCAGCTTAGTGATGGAGGAGGAATCAGAACCTAAATGCTGTTTGGGTCTAATGGTCTGTTACAGTACACTGTTACCTCGACGGAATTTATAAGAAGTGGGCGGTGAGGAGGAAAATCTCCCTAAACCACAAGCCTGCAAGGTCCCAGGACCCACCTCACCATCCTAGCCAGTGGCCAGAAGCAAAGCAGGAGAGGCATGCGTTCAGCTGCCCAGGGTCATCCATCCCTATAGCTCACAGTGGCTGCGAGCTACATATTAGGTATAAACTTCTGGAAGAATAGATGTCCTCCTCCCTATCACTACAAATAAACCTATTCCAAGTCCTAAAAGAACTGGGCCCCGCCACACATAAACAGACGTAACAATCCACCACGTCCTTGGCATTCCTACGCCCCTTGGCTTTTTGCTAAGCCCAGAAGCGCAGAAAGTACAATGACAAAGAAAACACCACCAGCCGAGCCACAGAACAGATTTCAACCAACTCACAGCTTCAAAACCTATCCACGCTAGTGCCTGAAAGTTATTTTCTACTCAACTCCAAAGTAAGTATTTGAAGCCAAACTTCATGTAATTACACATGGTGGGGGAGATGACAGAACATAACCGTAAACAGAGTTAACCACCGAAGTCAAGATGGACAGGAACAACAACTGATAAACATGGCAGCTCCCAGCAGTGAGCTGGGCCTGCCTGCTCTGAGTGCCACAGCAGGAGGCCAGGACACACAGAAAGCAGGAGTTCAATTCCAAAACTCACAACAACCCTCTGGAGAAGATGGCTGGGGAGAAGAACATTTCTTAAAAATCCACAGAAGGACACCAGCAACCACGTGCTAGAAAGACAACGCACCACACACTATACACAGCGGTGGTCCCCTCTTCCCGACACAGCAATACCAGCTCCGACATAGCAATACCAGTGGTAACGTTAACAAGTAATACTGCGTTTTCCACATACTTTTGCAAATGAACTTAGAATGTTCTTTCTGAGTCAGAGAAGCTACTGCCTGATTTGCATCTCTCTGAGGGGAAGCTGGGGGTCACGGGTGCGGATCTGTGTCTGCGGATGCATGCGCATTAGCCAGAAAAAGACCCTGCTGGGACCAGCAGTCACTTCTCCCAGCTAGGAGATGGATCGAAGGCTCTTCCCGGGAGTGGGCCCTTTTTCCCTGCCTGACCCTTCGTCACAGACCCTCTCTGTAGTGTGGCATGAAGCCCTGCTCCTCCACCTCCTTTGTCTCCCTGTGTGTGAGTGACCCAGATTAACTTCTAAAGTGCCCTCCCCTGAAATCAGACCTCTCAATGTCCCCGGAGCTCCAACAGTCCAGGCCTGATTCCTGCTTAGAAATGTTTTTCTGAAGGGGAGGGGAAGGAGAGGAAGAAGGAGTGCAAGACATAAGGGGTGTGTGTGTGCATGTGAATCACTGATAGGAATTCACACTCAGGAAAACAAGCCATGAAAGGCCACCAAACCAAGGTTCAAGGTTCCAGGTTTAGGATGACAAACCTCTCTGTTTTGTAAAACTGCTATGTTCATCAGCCTCACCCCAATAACATAGGGGAGTTGTGATGTTTGCTTAACAGTCTCCGCTTGTGGGAAGAAAACCCTTCAGGTTTCCAAATTGGTTGCTCTCCTCATCCCAGGTTCTATATTGTTTTTTTCCAAGTAGTCCAAACGCACTTCACAGTCATCAATCCCAGTAACAGCTGCCATTCTCCCCCAATACTATTAATACTGTGGCTCTGTGAAGGATTTTACTCACAAAGTTCCCGGCAGCCATTAAATAGGGCAGTAACATAAAACGAAAAGCATAAAGCATTCTGTCATCTACCGAACTTCTTGGGTTTTTATGGCGGCCAGGATTCTCACCTCCAGCTTTGTTTTGGAATGCCCACACCCCTCCCTGCACCGCCTGGCCCGGCCCGGCCCTCCTTTCTGGATGCACAATGCTGTATGAGGCTCCTTGGGGGTCAGCAAAACGCCGCACTGGTGTGATGCGGAACGCGCCTCCGAGCCCGAGGAGTTCCCCGCTGTCGTCGGTGCGACCTCTAATCTGGAGGCCGTCACCACCGCACAGCACGCTGTGAAAGTCCCCTTCAAGTCGGCGAGCCCCCTCCCGGGCCCAGGCCGGCCCCGCATAGCTGGCCGAGAGCGCCCGGCGCTGGTGCAATGACACTGCACTGGCCCACTGCACCGGAGCGTCCCCTCCGCTGAGGCTCGTCCCACCCCCTCGGCCCACTGCAGTCGCACCTTTCCGGGCCGGGCCCCGCACGCCTTCCCGTCCACGGCCTAAGGGGCTGGCAGCGAGCTCCGTTCTCCCTCCAACCTCCAGACAGCGGTTCCCCAGCGCCCTGCACCCCGGGCGGGACCCCCTGCCCATGCCGCCCTACCTCGCCCCTGGCGCCACGCCTCGCCCTCCCCGCCGGTCGCCCCCGGCCCGCACCTTGGTCTCCTTCACGTGCTGCTTGACGCCCTCCGGGTACCACTGAACCCGCACGTAGCCGCGGCGCAGCGGGCTGGCGCGGCCCTCCTCGTGCCCGGGGCCGCCAGCCTCGGAGCAGCCCGAGCTCCCGCGGCCCTCCTCCTCGCCCTCCGAGTCCGAGTCCTCGCCGTGGATAAGGCGCACCAGCCCGAAGTGCACCGAGCCGCGGTAACGGCCCGACACCAGGTCGTGCGAGAACAGCAAGCGCTGCGAGCCGGCTTCGGGGCCGGAGTCCGAGGACGGCCCGGAGGCCGAGTCCGGGCCGGGGGCGGCAGCCGGGGCCGGGGCCGGGGCCGTG